TTTATATTAGTGATAGTTACTTGTATTATGATATAAGGGTAAAGTCTCCTGCATATTTAGTTTAGCTTTCGTGTTTACATATATAGTTTAGCTTTATATGTTTATATTATAATCAGTATTAAATGATAATAAAATGAAGGGCGAGATCCTCTTGTAGAAAAAAAAAAAAAAAAAACAAAAGAACTAAGCTCTCAGACAACAAGAAAATTTTTGACCTTTCTTCGCTTCCAGAAGAAGAAAATAAAGAAAACATACTAAGTTCCTCAAACAACAAAAACACCACCACTTCTGAGCAAAAAGGCAGCAACTGAGCAGACAAAGTCAAAGCAGAAATGCTTGACAAAGGCAAAAACAAGCAAATAGACCATGCAGAAGCCTCTTCAAGCAAAAATAACAAAAGCTCTACCTCCTCTTCAGAAAAAGAAACAACAAAACAACACGTGAATTATGACATAAACAAAAGTCACGTGAGAGAGCCAATCAGCTCAAGTGCAGAAACTATAACTAAAACTAAGCCACTTGACTTTACAGTTAGCCTTGAAACTAACAGTCTCAATCAACCCAAACCTAAACGATAGTCAGACCTGTTCACTAAACTCAGAGGTAGCAAAGCTACTTACAAACAAGAGGTCTCCAAAAACAAAATCCTCTCCAAAAATGAAAATGCCTTAGTCTTTAACATCCAAAGCCTAAACAATATATCTACAAACAATATTATTCTATCCTTAGCAAATTCCCTTGGTGAAGACCTCCTAGCTACCAAACCTCATTTTAGCAGAGGTAAAAGAGCCTACCTAGAAGTAGTTTTCAAAAATGAAGCTTAACAGCAGCACTATACAACAGAAGGGATTAATATATTCAAGCAAACAATTTTTGGATATATTCCTATTAACTTAAAGAAAAGCTTTCTCTCTGTTAAGGTTAGAAACACACCTTTAGAAAACAAAGACCAGACTAATAAACTTCTCTTAGAAACTTTTCAAGATTTTGGAATTATCTCTTCAGTTAAGCCTCTACTCTTTAAGAGAACCTCAGTTTGCTTAGACTAGTGGATCATCTCATTCGAGACAACTGAAGACCCAGACCTTTCTAAAAGGCTTCTAAGAACTACATATATTGGTGACTACAAAGTTAGTACCAAATGGAGAGAAGCCCCAAAATGTGCTATTACTGTGAAAAAGAAGGCTATATAAAGAAAGATTGCGAAGAATTAAAAGATGCAATTGCTTTACATGTATACTACAAAGAATTAAAATTACAAAAAGAAAAAAACTACACTCACGCTGAGACTCAGCCAGAACCTAGATCAGATAACCCCTATGTCCAAACTCAGACTGAACAAGAATTGCAACCCTCAGCAACTAAGGAGGAAATCTCTATTCCACCAACAAAGATAGCTAATAAAAAAAGAAACTCTCCAAACCAAGATTACTTCACAGAAAAAATAGAGGACAACAACTCAAATCTAGTACAAAAGACAAACACCTCACCTTCTGATTCAAAACTTTCTGAACCAGAAAGCGAAACTGTAACAGCAGATATACAGAAAAACAAAAAAAGGAAGAATAAGAAAGGAATACATGAGAATGATATAGTAATAACAGAGGCAACTACCTCTGAACAAGGCTTCTCTTCTCATTAGGTTATTTTATAATCAACAATAACAACCCAAAAACAATCTCATTCAATTATGAAAAAAATTACAATCGCAATACTCAATGTAAAAGGCCTAAACAACAAGGCCAAAGTACACAAAACTCTAATTCTCTTAAAATCATATAATTTAGATATTATTACACTTCAAGAAACAAACCTCAACAACACAAACTCTAGAAATTTCTTAGCTAAGCAATAGAATTTCGACTTTTTTTGGTCTTCAAAAGCAGTAATTCTAGCTAGCAACAAACAAACTAAAATAATTGAAGCAAGAACCTCTTTTGATGATTGAGTAATCTAAGCAAAAATTTCTTATAAAAATAATACCTTCTTGGTCACCAACATATATGCACCTCCAAACCTAAAGGACAGAATTAATTTCTTCAATAGCTGGTCTCCAACGATCGATGAAGACTATATAAACCTTATAACAGGGGATTTTAATGTAAATTTAAACTCTAACAGAGATCGAATAAGTCAAGCACCAATACAAAACGACCCTTCAAGAGAGCTAGTCAAGAATCTAATAATAGATTTCACTGACACAGCAGAAATTTCAACAAATAACCCCTTCTTAACTTTCTATCAAAATACTAGAAATAATCACAAAATGGCTACAAGGCTTGACTATATATTCATAGACTTAAATCATAGCTTCTTAAAAAAAGAAACACAAACACGGTTTGGCAACTCAGACACCTTCTCGTCGAATGCACTATCAGTTTCAACTCAACCTCTGCACATACTTCCTTATGGAGATTCAATCCAAAATCTCTTTCTAACCTAGAAACTAGAGACGAAGTCCTCAAAGAACTTCAGAGAATTGAAAACCTTGATAAATG